ATTCACTTCAGAATTTATGAGTACTTGAGTATAATATGAATATCCATTCCTTGAAAGTATATATGATAGATTTATAAAATTATTTTTTATTAATTTTGTTAAATCAAAGAATTTTATATTTTGGATTATATTTAGGAAAGAACTTTTATTTAAATGTTTTGATTTAAATACTAGTTTTTGGTAGTGTAAATGGATTTGATAGCTTTTGTTTGTATATTTAAATTGATATTCTCCTCGATATTCTTTTTTATATTATAAAACTCTTCGTTTTTTTTGATCTTTTGGATTTCGGTTATAGCACTTATATTGCTTGCACATAAAATGAAATTGTAATTTGTTTCCAATACAGAAATAGGTGTACTACAATTGAAATTGTTTTCTGGAGATGGGATACTATTTGACTTGAAAGTTCCTATATAGCTAGTAAAAATACAAGGGGAATATAAGATTTAAATAGGTAGATTTAAATTATTTAATGGGTGGAAAGCGATTCTAAGCAAAATCAACAAAGAAATCCTGCTAAATAACTTTTTGAAAAAAATCTTTTTAGTTGTTTTATTACAATTACATTTCCAAAATATAACTTCAAGTTTATTAATTTTAATAAGTTTATTGGTTAGGTTTTTTATAGTATAGTATTATTGAATATAAAGATTGATAGCTTATTAAAGAAAATTAAAAATCTTTCTTTTTAAATTACAAAAAAGAATTGTTGAATTGATAATTCCCGTTTGTGTAACTAATAACCTAAACTTACAACATTATATCAGAAAATTTCTATATTACATATTATTGGGTATAATCTAGTATTTGTATTTAATGCAAATATAATCGATCTCAATCAGGTTTTTATAAATAGTTGTGAGCTAGTTAATTAATTGCTAATTTGTTAAGTGGGGAATTTATATGTATAACAAGAATATATATTCTTATACTTCACCTTTGATTTATTTTATCATATAAAATTATTATTACAATTTTGAGGTAAATAAATTTTTATAAAGTTTAAGTTATTCTATAATTAATAATTGCTAGAGATTTATTTTCAATTCTATATCATTTTTGAGTTTAGATGAGAGATTAATAGGCTTCGGAATATACGAATGTTTTATTGTAATAGTAGAAAAACAAGAAAGAAATATTTATTGGATTTGTAGATTATTTAATAGAATGATTGGGTTTGAGGGGGGTAAATTGTTAGTATTCGAAAGAGATTACTGCAAAGATTGGTTTTGCGAGTAAGGGTTTTTTTTATTTTTTTTTTTTTGGTAGTATGAGATATTCTTTTAATAGAGATGATTGGAATATTAGGAATCTGGATTTCGCAATTTTCTGAGGAATCTATATAATATTACTATCAGGGTTGGAGAGGTTGAGATGGGCGAATAGTATTAGAACTATACTGTAACAATTCTTCTTTAAGCTTTGTTATTTTGTTCTACAAAACTTTATAATCTATAAGAGTTAATAATCACTTTTTTTAAAATAAATAAATATATATTAATATACTACCCTCAAAAGTTAATTCCTCAATCAAAAAATCGTTTCCCAACTATTTACTCTTTTCACATCTACCAATATTTATATTAGAATTGTAGAAACTTTATTTATCACTTTATCGAAATTGATTATCATTGATTAGAGGAATTTGGCTAATTATAGAAGGAGAATAATAAAATCCTTTTGAAATGAATGAATTGGATATAGTAATGGTATTTGTAATTTGGTATATTTAGGGAAATATTTTTGTTAAGTCTTAATTGAAATAAATCTTTTTTTTATAAATAATATTAAACATACAATTCATTCAAAAAGGTATTATAATTATAAAATATTATTTGGATGGTTATTAGATAGCCATGTAATCATATAAAAATTATAGATAATGTAATACTTTGCCTTAAAAGAACTGTGAGAGTAGAATATAATTTATTCTTAGAATCTACAATTATAGAATCGGGAGCAAAGCACTCATCAAGCACACCTATATATCAATTATATACACATAATCGTATACATGTACACATATGCATATAAGCGATCGCAACTGCGATTGGGTGCCGATCCGTGACAGAATTCTAATTAATGATTATATCTCTTTTTTATTTATTTCTTCATTTTCATTAAAATTATATATTGAATTGAATTCTTTTTTTTATTGATAATATCAACCAAAACTCAATTAATCATCAACTCACTCGAGCCATTTAAAGCCTGATTAATTATTAATCCTAATATTTGAAATATCTATATAAAACAGATTTATTGATTAGAACTATATTATATTGAATATAAATTTCAATTTTTAAAACAATTAAAAAATAGTAGTACTAATCGATTTCTTGAACTCTAAATAATAATTCAGATTATTTTTATTTTATTTTATAAATTTGCTTAAGATTGTATACTGAATTGAATTCTTTTTTTTAATATTATAAAAGTTATCCAAAATTATATTAGTAATATAATTTAAGTGAAATAAACTCAAACTTAAGCTTGAAATAAGGAATTCTTATTAAACTCAATTCGCTTATTCTAGAATAGTTTATATACTATAAAGAAAACTATTAGAAAATGAATTTTAAATATTAATACACTTCTTATAGAAAATTTTGAAATGAATTCTAAAATCAAATAAATAAAACTAACCCTAAGGGCTATTCAGTAATACATTTTTTCTCATAAAAAACCTTTAATAAAATTGAATTCTATTATATAGAATAAGATTTCTATAAACACACCATATAGATTCTAAAATTTTATTTTAGTGAAAATAGAAATCTATTTTTGGGTTTTATACCAAATGCGCATTATCGGCCTCAGTAGTGGGCCTGCTATTGAGTTTCGCACACCTTCTATTAACGAAGGAGGTGCTGGGTGAGAATGGGAGTGTGTCCATCCATTGCCTCAAGAAATCTCATATGGCTCAAACTCTATCCATAGTAACCTTGGAAGTATTATGGGATTTCAATTTAGGTAGCTCCGAGAAAAAGTTCTTATGCACGGACTGCTTGTAAAACATGCACGTGACCGGACTCTGACATCAAGTTGTCATTTGCTTGAGGTCGAAAGGCCTCCTCACATTCATCTTCATCGATTTTGAGTTAACGTTCTACTACCTACGTAGGTAGATATATATTTGCATGTTGTCGGTCTCAGATTCAAGGCTTTGCATTCTAAATATATTTATATTATGTAATAAGTGAAGTACAGTCTGAATGTGAGATAGTCTACAGAAGACGTCCGTCGAAGAGCATGTGTTATAAGTTGATTATACCATAAATCATTAGTAGTGAGAGGGGAAAGCAGTATCTGCTTACTTGTGCCATCAAATTTATGCTGCTCATAGTATCACCGTTTTCTCTAGTAGTAATGCACTTCTCGCTTCCTCTTCATCTCGCTCTCTTAGTTCGAGCCAACTCCCAACCTGGGCAGTGATGACAGGCTTTGCCATAGCAATGCGACCCCAGTTGAGTGCAGGCGACGAAGATACAGAATGATCACCTTTGAACTGTATTTCAAGCAGTGAATTCAGGGATAGCCTGAGATTCCTCCTCGGGGCTTCAATCATACCATAGTTCGAACCTCGTCGTAAACCTTGAGGTTGTGCAATTGGCTCGAGCCGTGGAAAACGGCCGCAGATAGCAGAAAATCTTCTCCATATTCAAAATCCCCACATTTGCTCGACATAGTATCTCACACGAAGGTTGTACTTCGACGTGCACAATCCCATATGAGGGCTTACGGAGGTGTCTTCATTCTCAGAGTGTGGTCCAAGTTGTGAGTTCTATATCTGATGAGAAGTGACTGGTAGAAGGAACAAGCCACTATTGAAAAGTGAGAAGGTCATAAGGGGTTTCTCCTTCGGATCTGCACTCGCAGGCACAAGGGCTCCAGAGAACGTGTGCGACGTGCGCCCCCAATACCGTAGGGATTATATGTTTTCATGTGTTGTATTCATATCAGATAAAAGCCCTCTGGCGTTGATGGAGGGAGGTCTCGTGGGAAGCGGGAAGTATGCTGTTATCTCTTCTCCTCCAGACAAAGACAGAGAGAAAGGAAGAAATGAGTTCGAATAGACATCCAGTACTCATCCAAACTTCATAATTTCACTTTCAATCCGAAGTCTGATATTAGCTGCGCTTAATTTAGCGTGAGAAAATTTTCACGGGTAGATAAACAGACAAGTGAATTGGATTTGTTTTCTCGCGTCCATTAACGCACATTAACGACTTTAAATTTTCTTTTCCACAATCTCATTTTTCCTTTCCCTTCAATCACAACTTCCACTCTCCAGTTTTGACACCCTCAAGTCCTGTTCGATCTATGATCTCTGAAGACAAATGAGGTCAACGTCTTCAAAGATCATAGATCGAACAGGACTTGAGGGGTAAACTCCACGCCGGTCCTTTTCTCCAGTCGTTATCCTGCCAATTCTGCTTATTTACCAATAAACCATTCGATCTACGACATTTGAGAACAAAACGCTTTCAAGTTTTCAGATATCTCGATCATCTGGTTTACTTGGTGGTAGCCTCCACGCGACAACCACTCATCTTCAATCGGCTGGGAATGGGAATTTCTTGCACTTTTTTCCTCTTCCTAGCTGCCGATCTTCTTTATTTCGACGTCTTCAGATTCAGCCAGAGATGCATCATACGGGCACGTGCAGCTACGGCGCCGGATATATCTCTACAGATTCTGTTTACGTCAAAAGTAAGTCTTCGCCATAATGTCGTTTTCGCCACTACCACCTCCCCACTTTCAATCAACCGACAGAAATTCTACCTTCAACAACCTTTTATGCGTCAGATTGCGCGATTCAATACACCTCTGAGGATGAAAATGGTCTCAAATGTGGATTCTAGCCATTACTGTAAAGGTCAATAGACAGTCCAGAAGTTACATTTGATTGAGGTTATTCGAGGCCTTGAAGTTCGCACCGAAAATCTCGGTTTCAAAGCATCACCCTTTACCGCGTTCGACACCAGCATATCGCGATGGATATCAATTTTTCTCAGGAGATGGTAGCAAAGACGCTGGCAGAAATGGTATGTAGCTCCAACGTTGCTTTCATTATCGATGTTGCTCATGCTAACTGATTTTGTAGACGTCCTAGAAAATGAGATGATTCAGAATATGCATCAACCGCTGCAGATGACCATTTCTTCGTTTCAAGTACAAACCGCTTCCACACATTAGTTACGCTACATAACACATTCAATTGCCGAAAATCATCTTTCAATTGTTCTCATGCTATCAAGTCAACTATCGAAATCCTAGGAGGGCAAAGCAAAGCATTTCAACAAAGGAGTAGGACTCAAATCGACCAAGACGCCAACAAAAGACTCACCACTATGGCTCAATCATTCATGGACCTTCTACCACAAAGCCTTCACCCATTCGACCACGATAACTCACCAAGATCCTCCAGAGCTTTCCAGCGAATGGGCCATGAATGTTTCCCGTTTCCCTTTTCCGATTCAAACGTTGACGACAAACCTCTCCTCTGGTTCCTACCTGATAACGAATAGCCTTTACCAGGCGTACCCTCTCGGCTTGATGTTGGCTCTCATTATCTCTTCTCTTCTTGAACTTCTTTCTGCCACCCAAACTTCGTAGCTAGTCTCTGTGATTCACCAGCTTTCCGAATCATATGGACGAACCTAACCTTTTCCGGGACGATCAGGTTTCGGGCTGGCAATGATTCCGCTAAACTCTTGTGGCGCAGGAAAAACGTACCGACGCGTGAATTGTTAGTTAGGAATCGAGGATTTTCATCAAGAATTAAACTATGTTGAATCCTATGAGTGAACTTTGGTACTGGTGATCATGCACATTGCTAATGACTATGATTGAACCGTTTTCCGCTGGCTTGCCATTGTGGTAGAATTTCCCTAAGTGATTTGTCCAAAGCGTCCCAAAAAATCTGCCCATGCATTTGATATTGTAAGATTCCTCGTGCCATCAGGCCCATATCTTACCCAACAATCCTCTAATCCTCACCCTCATCAGATACATTCCCGCACACTCCAAGCCCAGTTCACTCAATCATAAATTCCATCTCCTTCCAAGAACCTTGCGACTCGCCCAAAAAACTCGTACGATCCATCAGCTTTCGAGAAGATTGGAAAATCATGAACTTCATCTTTTCCAACCACCGCCTCTACCTTTACACCTGCTTGACGTAGATGATTGACGAATTTTCGTATGCCTTTATATCATCAATACTCAGTTATCACTCATACAATCAAACATTAAAACATATACATACCTGAGCAAAAAGCTTCCGCATCCCCCCGAACAACCATACACCTACAAAGCCCCTCAAATTTATACCCTTCCGGCAACATCCCTCTCGCGGGACTCAAAAGCGTCTCTCTCAAATCCGGCCTGTTTTCACAGTACTGATATCCCACCATTGCAAACATTTCATTATTCATAAAATCCAACTCTATCAGACTTCTCTCCTCTTCCTCTCCCATCCCCTTCCCATCAAACCTCAACGCCAAATCCACAAATGGAGAAATCAACACCGCGTTTTCCGGCATGGGAAAACTATACCTATTAAGATACAACAAAAGCGTAACCACAATTCCCGCACCTCCCGAATCTCCCATAATCGAGATATTTTCCCGACGATATCCCATCTCGAGGAGAAAGTGCAGTGCCGACAATGCATCTTGCAAGGCTGCTGGAAAGGCCGTTTTGGCCGTCACACATTTACGGAAGTTGACGCCGAAGATGGGGATCTTGGTTTTCTGCATCACGCGCCAGGGAATAGAAGATGTAAGCGGATGGCCTTGTACCATTCCGCCGCCTACGAAATACATCATGATTTTCCTTTGTGATAATGGGGCAGAGGCGTCGCCAACGGGAGGAGAAAGATCCCGTGTCCATTGCCAGAAACAGGGACAACTTTCTGGTTGGATGGTTGGATGTATTGCATCGCCCTTAAACCAGGGTTCATCTGCTGGTGGTATGACCTCCAATTGTACATTCTGATCGTCGGTGAGTTTGGGGATGGAACAGCGGGCGGGAAAGGAGAGAACATCTTTAAGGGGTTGGGTGCCAGGATTTAGAGACCAGGCGATGTGGGAGCCGATGAGGAGAGAAGCACGGTATGTGAAGGACCAATGGGGACGACCATAATAAGAAAGGGAGAATAAGACAGAGAGAAATACAAGCGGTATCTGCGGCGTAACGATCAACAACGAATAGAGAAGCCGAGCTACGCGGTAGCAGTGTTGAGTAAACCGGGACGTACGTTGCCAAGCGCGGATATGAGAGTTTGTGGGGTACGGGACGCGCATATTGAATTAAATTTTGAGTGACTCGACAATCGATATTTCTTCTGCGGGAAGAGGGTGAAGCAGATCCCAAATCGATAACGTGCATAGGTACGAAATGCATCTCAGAAATGAATCGTTCGAATCACTAGTTTTTCGTGTGCTTGAAACACGAGGTTGGGGATGATCGTCCCGTTTCATTAGGCTTCGGTTCATCCTATCAGATGCGAAAGACGGAACGAACTACCGTCAACTACCGGCACGCATGAAGCTAGGCAGGGACGGGTAAGGCATTTTGCTGAAAATAGTTAGGGATTCTGCGGGTGGTAAAATGTTGAAAGTCACCTGGTGTTTTTGTATTTTTTGTACGCGTTGACCATTGAGATCGGTCGGTTTATCATTGACTTTTTGGTTTCGAGGTGGTGGGAAAATATGAGATTGGGTGGCGCCATCTGATCATGATGGATTTTGGGGGAGTTGAGAAGACTCGACTCAATTTGAACTTTTGAGATGCGATGAGTCTTCTGCATACATGAATCATGATATTTGGTATCAGATATGGAAAACGGTAGCATGCGCGAATAACATAGCATCTCATACCAAATATGGACCACAGTCTCAAGTGTTTAAAATATGTATTTATTGATCTATCCTGCAATTTCTCCGTGATATTTTTGTTGTCAAAGCAACAGTCTATCTACTTGTCTTGTCTCGACTTATCGCGTGTCGTGCTCGGTTCCCCCTCCACAAAATCTTGTCTCGGGACCTCTTCTCCATAAATGGCTGTGCGTTGGCTATTTGCCTAACCTATTCCCTTCAACCCTACTGCAACACAGCGTCTGCCTCCTCTTTGGAGCATCGACATGCATGTGTATGCTTCATTCTGCCTTCATAAAAATGATCGCTTCTTCATCTGACAAAGTCTATCTTGCCACTGATTCGTTCCATCAAATAACCTCATGTCGTATCGAGTATCCTCAATCATAGTGTAACTTCGTAATGTAATCTTCGTAATGTAACCCATTCCAATCTTATTCCCAACATATCTCATTTCACTCAGGTGCCCGCATAAGGTCTGAATCCATCGTCCTTCCCCCGGCTCCAAGCTCTCAGTCTGCCTTTAATCTTTGATCCTAGTGGCTGTGCATCTTTGATCGATCCCTCATCCGATTCATTCGTAGTCTCAATGATACTGCCTCTACTTCTTCCCAATGACTCTGAGCTTGAAAATGGATTACTCATATCTATACTCGCTCTCACCCCGCTGAGTATCTTAGTACTTGTAGACATAGCAGAAGAATAGTCGTGACTCATTCGTTTCGAAGAATTCGTAAAAAAGGATAGCGAAGAAGTAGAGATGTGAGAAGAATGTGAGGAATTAGAATTAGAAGAACTACTCGAAGAAGTTCGCGATTTAGATTTGCGAGGTGATTTGTGGGAGGACTCGTAGGAATCCATTTCGAGGAGGATGAGTTGTAGTTGTGAGTCTGTTTGGGCGAGATTAGGGGCCGTGGAGGTGAGGGGAGGTCCTTCAATGAATTTGGAGGGGCGAAGCGTGGCTTTCGGGTTGGGTGAGGTAGACATTGTCTAATGATTGTTGGTTGTAATGCTTTAGTTGTGTTCGAATGTTGGGTTCCAATGTAGATATTTGGGTGATTTTTATATATAACCTTTGATTCGTTCTGTATATATTAAAGTATATGAAGAGTTGTAAAGTAATATATAGATTGACCCATACACAACCTTGAAAGAAAGATATAAAGATTCAAGATGGTATATGAGCAAAACAGCGAATATCCAACAAAATATAGAAAAGCAATCAAAGAGATCATCCACACCCCGAGGGGAGACCTACACTTTTAATAACTGGAACATACATACTGACTCAAATCCATCCGTTCCATGTGCGTCGTAACTCCGGCTTCCTTGAGTAAAGTCAAAAGGGAAAAAAGAAATCTTGCGCCCACCAAGCCGCGTTTGAACAAGGGTTTCTCTTCACATAATTCTGTCATAGTGGAGCACCCAAAAGCCTAAATTGTCACCCCTCACAGACCCTGCATATAGGTATCACTACCTAAAGTACTAAAATTCCTAAAAAGTAATTTGTAACCTCACTGATCACTGGTGTAATCATTTTTTGCCCCATGCCACCTCATCTGATACGAATACTTGTGCGTATTTCGGTGGATGATCTGCCAAGTATTTCAAGACAGTTTATGTATATGGATGGAGATTTTGACGTTTTTAATAAATCAGAGAAAGATTATTGGATAGAGAGGATTATAATTAGTTGTTCATAAACTGGAATTCTGGGTTTCTAGGATTTTATCAAATAATTTGTAAGTGTTGTTGAAGGATCTCGTGGAGATAAGGCTGGTAGAGAAAGACAGATTGGCGAAAAATGAAGGGGCATCTCCATTCACTCTCCATTTCCGATGCTTTTCATTTCCACAATTTCTTGCTTGTAATTTTTCCTACATCACATCACATCACACTACATGAATCCCCTCTCAATTTCTTTCAATTTTCCTTTACTATTATAGCATCCTGCGTATACACTCATAAAACGGAAGTCATGCGCATAACGCATTTTATTTATAATCTACGAGTAGGTAGGTATTTCAAAACTTTGATTTCGGGGTCCGTCCTACCTTTAAGCCCACCTGAGCAAGTACGAAAAGTACCTAAAAACAAACCCTATATCTCGTACTAACCGATAAAATCCCGCTGTGCCCGTGTCTCTCACGTTACAACTTACGAATACATAGACTGCGGAATTCACGGCGGTGGCTTGTGTACGATGTACTTGTAAGACTTACTACTCAAATTAAGGATTTGCTTAATGTGGACAAACAGGTAAAGGCTCTCGCATACGTATATTCGCAATCAATAACAAATCCTTCATCAGTCTAAAATGGAATTGGAATTTTGGCTGTATTGAATCTGGACCGACGTCATAAACCGTTGGATTTCTTATTCTTTCGCGGAAATGAATCCAGGATAGGGCGCTATCCGAGGGTGATGATCTGGACTGAAGGGTTTGTGGTCTCAGGTCTGGAAGGATTACAAGCTCATTGCTTGTTATCTGAGCGAGGTGTTCATGGCGGTCAATTGTTTGCATTTCGGATTATGGTGGTAGGATCTGGGGAAAAAGTCAAAAGAAAAGTGTGATGATACTCGATTTGATTTGTTTATTGCGTATAACTTTTTACCTTGTGTATAATTTTGGAATGATATAGTTAATGCTCCAAGTTTGACAGCTGGTCATCTGTGGAGTTGTTAGGTTCCTGCCTCTCCTCTTTCTACAAGCAAACTCATCGTCTGACGACACTGCTAACAAAATGTATTCCATATACCTTCGTAGGATTAATTTCTAATCGTTATATCCTAAATCCTTTCTTCCCTATCCCTTCCAAAACGGCAAGGAGCATCCGGCCTAGAACCTCCACAGAAGCATCCGATTATGTATTCATGATTCCAAACATAATAAGCTCGGAGTCACGGAGTGCTCGGCCAACCTTGGGATGATCTCAAGGTCCAGGCCAGGTCTGCAAAGAATCAAGAGAATCACCATACCCTTTCGACTCTCCCATCTTCGATCCTTTTCAATACAATATATCAACAGTCATCGAATAAATTCTCATCAAGAATCTCCCCATTGATCTTGTAATGCTTTCAATTGTTTACTAAACAATTGAACGTACTCGGGGATATAAGTTTCCAAAGTTGTGAGAGTGTAAAGATATTCCCACAAGCAACGGAATAACGGGCTACGGTTTAAGACCAACAACGGTCTCGGACATCCGTACTCGTACCTGCCTACAATAACTGTAATTAGGCCCTGTGTTATTTTTGTAATTGTTACATCGAGTTTGGCTACCTAGATGTTTCTATTTCGAATGTAGCACCAATAATGGTCCGACAATGATTTGAATTGAGTTGCCCTCTCGAGGAATGATCATAACTAGATACCTAATCACGAAATCATACTTTCTCATAAAATTAGTCATGTACGAACCGTTTTGTTGATCGATTAGAGTCAATTGACCATGATCATGGGTGAAAACATTCAAACCATACTTTGTGGTGAAAAGATACTGACTGTCGTCTGGGGAAGAGAGAGAGGCAGGAAAGCTAGTGTTTAGAACTGAAGATATACCCAAATACCTAGGTTCCTACCTAGATATAATTGCGAAATACACTGAAAGGAAGTTTATTAACTACCTACCGGTACCTACATAGATCAGCAGGACTCTTGAAGTGCTGATTTCGGATTTTTTGTGAAGCGATTAGACGATAATAGATGGAATTGAGTTCGTACAATTTGTTTCATCTTGACCATAATATCCTAATCACTCAACAGTACATATCGAATATATCAGCAGCCAGTATCAGCGTGCATGCCATGCATGTATCAGCCTCAGGATTAACTAATGCTAAACCCACATCTTACGCCTCCACGCCCCAACCATCCAATCACTCTACAACCCAACCACACAAAGTTTCACATCCCCAGACTTTCCAAACTATGCAAATCTCAATCTCAAACAAGTAGCCAAATTTCGGCCCAACATTCAACATAACACGAACAACCAAGCGGCTTTAGCTCACTTGGGAGAGCGCCAGACTGAAGTCAACTTCAGGAACCTAATAGAATCCATCTGTTAATCTGGAGGCACTGTGTTCGATCCACAGAAGCCGCATTCTGCGATCTCGAGTCCACTCGAGATAAGTCCCTTTTGCTTTTTGATTTGCCAATTACTTTTTGTATCAATTTCTTATCACTTTTGTGTAATTTTTGGAAATGAAAACAATTGATAAGATTGTAGTGGGGTTAATGGGCACAAGCGAAGTATAGCTAGCGCATTCAGTGGAGCGATAATACATTTTCACCCCGCTTTCTCTCGAGTTTGTGTGATTTAGAGAAGAAATTTTGGTGGGGTTATTGGATTGAGTTTATGATCTAGAGAAGATAATGCATTTTGATTTGTTCATGCTGTATAGATATCTAAAAACTTACGGGGCTTTTTACAAATCGCATCGAACTATTGGTCAAACAAGACCCCTCCATGACTCGGCCTTTTACACCCTAAAAGAAAATTTGAATCGCTCGAGAGTCAAGACTGATATCAAAACCTATCACTCACTCTACCGTATAATTAACGTATTCTTTTTATCCATTCCACCTTGATTTGGGTGGGGAAAGTCGCCAAAAGTCCTCGAAATCACCTATCGACAACCCCCTCGGAATCAACCAAAAATGCAAAAAAAATGATTTCTGACAACGGATTCAAACCGATAATACTCAGGGTAACTCCCTACGTAGGGCTCGAACCTACAGCCTCAAGATGTCAATCTACAGGATCGAGTCCTCGATAGAAGTCTTGCGCGCTACCATTGCGCCAGCAGGGAAATCTTATGATTTTGTATGATAGGATGACGAATTTTGCGTATATAAAATCATTTCTAACTAATGTCTTTCTCTGTACAGCACAGCATCATCCATATCTCCATCTATATTGACTTTAGATACATGTGACTGTCTGTTTCTTCAGATCTTGCAGTACGGTCTCTAGAGGCGTTTACTATGGCTAATTTCTTCCTGTCGAAACGGATCATCTCCCGACAAGTTTCTCCCAAGTCCATCTCATATTTCAAGAACATCCTAGTGGAACAAATATTCATGTGATATGGTATTTTACTGCGTTTTCTTTCAAATAAAAGTTCGAGATGTCCTCTCAAGTGGGCAATGTTCGATAAGCGAGCTCAGGTATACTTTCTGGGTACATTAGGGCGTTGCTACATGCAAGTGATGATGTATCTATCTATTTGTTCATCCATCCATCCATCTATCGCAATGAATGCAAGAGTAGATATTGAGATGAGAAAGTTTGCAATCTTTAAATCGAGCTTAACTCTTTGTTATTTACATGAGAATATACAAAGAAAGACGTGGCATCTTGATATCGCGGGGTGGTGGATGAATTTGAGGGTGCTAGATATTGATCCGTATGATGGCAGCGAGAATATAATGACAATGACATCCTGTCTTTGATGCGTAATGATTCTTATTCTGAACTTAGATTATTCAAATTCTTAGTAATTTCTCCTTAAACCGGAATCATCACCACGAAAAGTATTTCCTCCCACGTTAGTTCTTAGTTATGTGGTGCTCAATATAAACCAGTCATTGTGTCCCTCACAATCTTTAACCTATTTCCCGTGAAACCCAGAGGCGTTTGCTATCAAGCTTAACATCGTTGTCTTAAGAATCCCATTCACTTGCGATATCCCTTTACCTTTGAAGAGATCAAACGCTGATGTAGTATTCCTTTCACCAGTTCAAAAAATATACGTCAACAGCTCACTACCAAATTTGTTTTTCAAAATACTGCCTTTGGGAAGAGTATTATTCCTAAAGCCCAAACAAATGTTTCCATAGCTGAAACTACAATCCACAATGAGAAATATTCCATTTCCTGAACTTTCCGAATTCAATCATGGCATTCAAACCCTCCATATCCATAGCATTGAGTCCAGATTGCAATTAATACTGTTTTAGATATTAGATGTTACATTTCGGATGTGATTCTAGACCATTGAATACCTTAAAGAAGGGTAGAAAGTTACTATGAAGACCTCTTAGAAATTATGTGGTAGAGCTACTCCATTCTTATATTGAGAGATTGGAAATACATTTGGATTTTGTGTTAGAAATACATGGTTCTCTTCATAGAGATGAGAAGAGATTCAGCTAATGGTCCTTAGAAACCGGTCTTTGGAGACAACAAAAGAGATCAGGGAATGCGTGAGATCACAATGGTGTAAAAGTTCTACAATGATGTCGGTGCCAAAGAGAGGGTAGGAAGTCGAGGAATCCTACAACGCTAGAGGTGGCTTCAGGAAGATATCTTTCTACATTGAGCCAGCCGTTCCTATGGCCGACAAACAAGTTCTTTTTGGTCAATAATTAAAACACAATATACTGCTTTGCAATCAATCATAATTCGTTATGGTTATTTAGTACATACAACGAGCTCGAACGAGCAAAACCAAACTGAAAAAGTTACCACTTGCAAATCCATCGCACCCACTCAACCACATAAAAGCACCTCAACCCGCCATATAAGCCGCCGTATCTCCTATCAATGCATCTCTCTTTCTCTGCACCGATCTAATCAATTTCGCCGCCGGATTTGGACAATTCCCAAGCACACAAACATTATTTCCACAACAGGTATCCCAAGCACAGACATAAGCATTTGGACAATCCCCATCATCATAACAATCTTTAGCTTCAGCACATCCAACATTTTCACCACAGAAACCAAGGCCTGTAATGGTGTTGAAACAAAAACAAGTCGAATCGACAGCGCATGGTTTGATGCCTTCTTCGCATTTGGTGGGAGTACAGGGAATGGTGTTGCAGGTGCCGTGTTCACAATAGCCGGTATCACAGATGTAGCCGCAGGAGCCGCAGTTGAGGGCATCTTTCATGAGGGCTTTGCCTGTGGGGCAGACTGGAGGAAGTCCGGTGGTAACGGTGGAAGTGGTGAAGGTTGTGTATGTCTGATGTTTGGTTAGTAGATCATTTTGGCCGACATGGAGAACACACATACAGGTATAGTTTTGGTAACGGTGTCAGGTAAAATCCCCCAACATGAACACGCACTCGAATAACGAGCTTCGTTTGAGCAAGCACTAGCGTATGATGGAAGTGAAAAGGCAGTTGTTGCTACCGCTCTCTTTCCCACGGTAGATACTTCGGTAATTGTTGTCAAGATGGTAGATGTAACAGTGATATTAATAATATCGACTGTGCAGAAGTTTTTCATGTACTTGATGCAATCATCATATGCTATAGCTTGTTGAAAAGGTCCACGAAAGTCTCCACTAACTGCACGATAACAATTATCTGCATTGCAACCTGAAGTTGATGAAGTGGTGATGGTGTTAACATCTGCGATGCAGATTCCTGCAATAAGAAGAAGTAGTCTGAAAGAAGTGTGCATCGTGAAATCGAGCGATGAATTCCAGATCGTATAGATATCTAAGAAGAAGGAACTGCAACACTCTCATGGAGGTGTTGACCCTTTATAATGAAAATTCTGAGCCGCATCAAAATTTCAGACCCTGACTGTACAGCCGTATCCCATATCAACGCCTCTCCCATATCTATCACAAATTTCAGCATGGCGAATGTTCCTTCGGGTGCCTGACCATGCGATTACTACCTTGAAAAACATGGTATATGATGTACGAAATGAGGGGATATTCAGGAACGACAATAAGGAAAGGCCGAGTATAACGTCTTGGTCCTTGTTCATGTTGTGAAAAATGCAGTGTTCAAATATTTGCTCAGCTTTTGGATATCTTGCACGTTTACAAATAATAGCACTGGCCACTTACATGATCGGAGATTTGCACGAACACGTTGTCGACCCTATTGAATTCTTGTGTAGAAAGTGATCATGATCTGATTCTTATCATATCATATCTTCAAATGATTCTCGTTGTTTGCTTCATTGATATGAAGGGGTGGGGTAAGCTACACAAAACCCGTTGATATACGACTGTTTTTCTGAACAGCACTCATCAGTTCAGAGTAGAGCACAGTGCCAATATCTCAAGCAACATGTTGAAGGCAAATCAGTCCCAGTGGGCAGCTGGACATGAAAACTCCAGAAGAAAATACTTGAACGACTCAACTTAGGTAACAAACGAGAACATGTAATGCAAGATCCCGCAGAAGCCTGCCTCGGCCGTTTGCAGGAAAAACATGCAAATTTCAAGGAATCCACCAAACAGATATTCCAAAAAATGAAATCTGCAGTGTTGGTATCCTTTTCGGGTTTGTCCTAGCCTCAAGTAGTCACCGAGGAGATAATGTTTGTGTAGCTAGTTAGGGATTGTAGCATCTTCAGACGTAGACCAGACCTTTTCAACCAGAGATTTGCCAGTCGCGGAGTACAACATGTATTACATAATTGTGGACATCTTTCAACGTCCTTCAAGGATTTAACATGGTACAATGTAAACTTCAATTTGTTCTCTGCCAATGAAATATAGCACCAGGTCTTCGAATGACAATCATCACCACCGACCTGGGAGGATTGAATAGGATGTGATACCGCAGAACGTATAAGCATCTCAAAATATCACGATGTGATCATCTTAGGACACGAGGAAGAATATATTATGAAATTATATCATTGTTGCTAACTCAATGCTTCGCAGTCATCATAATTCATCATCAACCTATGACTGATAGGATATCCGAAATGATTTCGCCGTACACAGCCGACGTTCCCATCACTCAAAGTGCAGACATCACTGGGTCTTTGAGACAATCTAAGAAGCTTGTCCTCCCTTCTTGCCAGCCTCGACTGGATCAACCTTTCCGTGTGCGAATTCTGGAATGGACGGTTAGTATCGAATTTCGGTGAATGTGGAGAAGCATGTTGGAGTAAAGACATACCACCTTTGCCGCTACCACTGCTGCCAGTGGTGGAGGGGCTCTCGGTGCTTTCGTCGCTGGTAGATCCACCCTTGGCTCGAGCTTCCTGTAGCGAGGGAAGACTGATTAGCAGTTTGAAACACGTAAAGAATACAAATTGTTGAATAGGCAATAGGAGTGATTCTTACAACTGGGTCGACCTGGCCGTGAGCAAACTCGCCAGTTCCAACTCTCTTGTCTGGGGTACCGTCCTCCTTAAGACCTCCGTGCTCTAATAAAGGTATTAGCAATGTTCATGCCAGACAGAGGGGAAGGGACAACTTACCAGTTGGCTTGTATGTTCCGCTCATTTTGAGATTGGTTAATGTATTATTTGGTATGTTGTTGGAGTTTTTTCAATTATTTGAATGTCTGGAAGATGTAAAATGATTGTTGATGATTTAAAAGTGTTTGAATGGGAAATATCCAAGTACATATAGCCATTTCAACCTCCTGCCTGCTTGATTCTTTCACCCCGGAGCATAACTCCGCCCAATAACGACATGAGGGGTAAGTGAACGATGCTAAACTTGATTTGAATAGGCAAAAATTCAAGCAATACCTTGTTTTCAATCAAGCAGGTTCACTATTGTTGCGCACTTTGCCATAAGACTTAACGCAATGATCCTTTTATCATGATGTCAATGGATCGTTACAAACCCTGCGCCTAAAGCTTCTCCGAGTGATGATTGGAGAAGATCTAGCTACCCCCCTGGTTGCCAATACCGGATTTTCAAAAAGCCATGAAAAAGCAAATCGTAAAGTTATCCTGGGGAAAACGAGAATGATGAATAGATTGATACTTAGATATTCTGACGTGGCAACCTGGCAACGCTAGGCAAGATCAACAAAACAAAAACAAGATCACGAATGTAAACGGCACGGCACGAACACGAACACGATGGTGACGTGCATGATAATATGGGGACTCCGCGGCATCATGTGATCATCGCGATCCGATTGTTCTTGCCAAGAAAACACTTTAACAGACATCAGAAAAGTACGAAATTAACCAATACTGATTGGTTCATTGAAACATCTTAATTTTGTATGTATATGGATCTCATGAGTAAGGTACGAGCTATCTCGTTTTGTAGAATGTATGGAACGCATGGCAATGGGCCAGACCGTCTGAGAAGAGACGGAGTAAACCATCCTACCGGCTACACTTTACTTCTTGATCATCACTGCCCTCAATTGGCTCTGGCAACGAGAGAAGAAGAAGAAGGGATCCTGCATGATGAGTCTCAAAGCTCGTGATATTAATCCATCAGCACGTATCATAGAACCAGCACCCTCACATCGATCTGCTAGGTCTCATTCTCCATATTGGTTTGCGATGCACACATTGGTCTAGAGCCTTTCTTCACTGACTTCTCTTTTTTCTTTCTTTCTCTCTTTCTTCCTTCGATTCTCTCCTTCTTCCTCCGCTTCTCTCCTTTTGCCAAGAAGAGAGGAGGGTAAATGTTCCGGTCCCCCCAAATCATATGATATAGTTATACATTGCCATTATGAAACTATACAACTCTGTATAGATCTGACAAAGAGGAAGAAAGCCTCACGATATACAAAAATCTAACAAAACCTCAACACAAAGATTTCTCGCAAGCTGTAGAATGTGAATTCTCAAGTGAGACTGTAATACCAAAGCACCAACACAATATTTCTCGCAGGCTCTAAAACATGACCTCTCAAGTGAGATTGTAGTAAGGTCCATCAATATCGTCCGCAGATTTCTCTTCCGTTATCCCACTCAAGTCTTTCACCACTTGAAACGGTTTGCGATGTGCTTGTTGGAGAAGGGACAATGAATGGATGAAACAAATTGTATGAAGTGAATAAGATGAAACGAACACTGGCATTCATGAAATGGTTGACTTAAATCTTCTGGTGGATTCATGTAGCATGAAATTTTTCGACAACTTATCTTCTATATGACCTTCAAAATTCACTATCTTGTATGGCAAGAAGCCGTATACTTTCAATTTGAAGTCACATGAGAAGTATGAATTCAACACGAGGTATTGTTGTGGTCGAACAATAACATCCTATTCACTCATCTTCAATATCATACTGTATTTTTGTAGAAAGTTCAATCAAAGACCTTTATTTTGATTTGTCAAATAACCTTGTTGTCTACTGTACCAAAGACGACCCCAACACCGCACTCGAATACCTCTCGGGCGAATCCATACAATCCAAATTTACAAATATCCCAAGTAACCGACAAACCACATCACCACATCACCACATCAACAAAATTCACTCCTCCGTACCACTTTCCAATTCCCACACCCTCCCAACATAAAAGGCCTCAAAAATCATGAATCCTCACTCATGGCTCGACATCTTCCGCAGCAAAAAAGTACTCTCAAGAACCACTTCCACACCCACAATGTCTTTCCCATCCGCACCCGCATCTTCACCTCCCAAGAACCCACACAAAAAACCATCGAAAAATAAAAAACCCTCGCGCGCGGATCATCGCACAGGTAGTTACGATAGTCAGTACACCCTCCGCGGCAAAGAAAGCTCTAGTCTCGAATTTGAGATTTTTGAAGATCCGCGATGCGCTATCTGTGATGGGGATCTTCCTCCTATTGAAGGACGTAAGTGCATCTCTTCTCTTCTCTTCCCCTCTATCTGCATCTTTCTCTTTCTCTTTCTCTATATCTATCATACTAATCCCACCCCAGCACCATCCCACCTAACCCCCCAACTCTGCGCGTCCTGCCACCTGCAAGTCACGCATCTCAAGAAGGAGCGCGAGAAGATCCTCCGCAGACAGCGCGAAAAGCAACTCGTCCAGTTGCACGAGGCGCTCGAAGCCGTTTCTGCACAGGCGGAGTTGAGACAGGTGTTGATGGATGGGAATGAGAGGTTGCGGGGGGAGATTGAGGAGATTGAGAGGGAGATGGGGGGGTTGGAGGGGGGAGTGAGGGAGGAGATGGGGGGGTTGGAGGGGGGAGTGAGGGAGGGAGAGGAGAGGGAGAGGGAGGAGAGGGAGGAGAGGGAGGAGAGGGAGGAGAGGAGAGGGAGGAGAGGGAGGAGAGGGAGGAGAGGGAGGAGAGAGGGTTAAATTGGGATGGTGAAGAGTGGAGAGTGGAGAGTGGAGTTTAGTAAGGGGATGTGATGGAGTCGTGGGGTTATGAGTATGCTTATGATGATAATGATGATGTGTCATCATACATACATACATACATACACAACCACAGTTTCTAGATATGTGCACGACAGGATGGTTGGTACACGCGAATGCGCAGCGGTCATATGCCACAGCAGTACTGAGCGGAAAGGAAAGATGATTGTGCGGTTTTATGATACCCAGGCTGGTGTTTGCTGTTGAGATTTTGAGGAAGTCAGATCGTCCATTCATTATGTGGATGATGGGATGGGAGATTCTTCACGCGCTTCAAGTTTTCTAATACATGCTATTTTCTATTTTTTGGGGTCTCAAGCTGTGATTTATACTCTATTTGTTTGAGTGGTGATGAATGAATCATTTTGTAAATAATAAAGCATCTGCATCTGAACCAGTATTCAAATGATTATCAGCAACTGTATTTATTAGATCTCATCATTCCATACAACCAACAGTAGCTCACTCATACATTCACGTCACACAAACTCATGCTTCTATATCCATTTGATGATATGTTATTGAATTCCTCGTATACTATTGAATGTCTAACGCTTGCGTGTAAGGGTATTGTTCAGTATCATTTCCTCGTAGTAGAAAATCTTTCAATCAATCATCCATCAACCTTTTGAACCTTTCTCTAATATGTACAAGTATTCTTCACTACCTACCCCCGGAAACGGCCCCCAGTATCCATGATCCAAAAACAAAAGAAACGGCCCGAAAGGAAACACAAAGTTAAGAAACCAGGGTATCATTCCCAAACTCGCTCTGCTCCGTTGTAAATGCAATATCCACCCCTCAAACTCACCGAAAGTCGTTTCCGAAGCTGGAAACATCCCTTCGATGCAATCATTCCTCCCCGTCTAATCCACGTCATCATTGACTGGCATTGGAGACCTAACTGTCAATTCGGCCGATTCATCACTCCCAGTATCCTTATCCTGAGTTGGGGAAGATATTGAAATTTCCGGACTCGACCCTAACGCCGCGGCTCTCTCAGCTCTCTCAGCTTTGCGTGCTGCATTTCTTGCCTCTCGTTGTTTAACTAAATCCTTTTCCGCCTCAATAGCCCTCGCTCTTCTGATTTCAATCTCATCTCTCTTAACCACTTTGCGCAATCCTTCCGAAGCATGGATTAATCCATCGATACTGATCGCATGATTCGTCATTTGATGATTAATGTATGTGTAAACATTTGCAGGCGAAGAGCATTGAAGTAATTGTTGTTCATTTAGTTTCAATAGAGCGAGTGCGACTTGGAAGAGAAATGTGCTACCATCATTCATACAGAGCACGACGTCCCATACTCTGAATAAGGCTTCGGCCGATAGACAATCAGTGAAGACACTGAGGAACCATTGAAAAGTGAGGGCTTCGAGCTCAATACAAAGGTCATCTAGATGTTGGGATAGTCTTGGAAGAATCTCGGAGACGTATTGTCGCAAGACTTGTTGATCTGCCCTGGAAGCTAGAAGACTGTGGTCGTAGTATCCAGGTGGTAAGGTATGCTCAATGATGCTAGTCAGGACCCAGAAAGCATCCTCTGCCGTTGGCATGATAAGCAATAAACATGCAGTAATTAAATTCATCCCTTGACAATATCCAACTTCATGATTTCTTCTCGAGTAGGCTAAGAGTACCTCGTTGAGCTTAGCGACTCCGGGACCTTTTCGAAAGTAAATATTATCCGTCAATGTACGATTGATATCCATTTGAATTTGAGCAACAACTACCGGATCATCATCTTCCTCACTACGAGCTATCAAATCATCATAGTAACCTGGGATGCGCATTGCAGAAGCTCCAGAGCACTCGGCCCAAATTTTGGCTCTGTATGCTACTGGAATACCACCAAGGACCAGATTTTTAAATTCATTCCACTTAGCACGGCCAACCTTTCCTTTATTGCCCAAACCAGAAACACCAATCATTTCTCCATCTGCTAGACTTGCCTCGGGCATAACTGGTATAGGTCGATGGGAACGTGAATCTGTATTTAAAGCAAGAGCGGCAGCAGCTGCCTCTCCTTCACGTTTCCGTTCGGCTCTTACTTTGCGAAGGAAATCGTTCCATCTTACTGTTTTGTCTCTTTGAAGGGAATCATGAACTTCGCCCAGTTGTTGTAGCAATAGCTTTACAGGTTCAGTATCTTCTGGTGTAGGATCTGGTGTAGAAGTCGTTGAGGGCGTAGGCTTGGAGATTGTGGCGGTATCTGATGCGATAGACAATGCAGGGGCTGATGTAGTCGCCAAAGGAACAAATCCTCTTTCTTCGGTTAATATTCCAGGAGATCTTGGCACCTCGCCTCCTTCCATGACTTCAAAGGCAGGCATACTACCCGATGGTGTATGAGCTAGCAGTTCTGTAGGAAATGTTGCTATTTTGAGATAGTCTTGCCAACGTTTGACTGGCTTATCTTCATCATCAACCTTGTCGTCAGTTGCTGTAGATCCGGGTGAACCAGGTCGAAGATCATCGATATCACCACCTTCAGTCACTGCCGCAGAGATAGTGCTACTCCTCCCACCACTAAGCATCTCTACGCGACTACCTCTCTTTCCTTTTCGCATTCTCTCAGCGGCTTCTCTTTGTCTTTTCTTGCGTCGTTGATCATATATAAATCCGAATCGGTCAGTCAGAAAATCTGGATTATTATAGTTTCTATATTGCATCAAGGTTGGTGGCTGATCTTCTGGTGCTAAAATTGTATCCATCTCGACGGGACCAAAATTCTCCCTAATCGTGGTACTAGAGCCCTGTGGACTAGACCCCATCGTATCCCACCTCTCCTGTGCAGCAACAGTCGTATTTTGTGTCAATGGGGTAGGATTGCGAAGGGCTCTGGGGTTCATCTTTGGTACTGCCCGAGCAGACGTTGTGGAATTGGTACTAGTTCTAGAAGGGGTACGACCTGATTGTTCAGTTCCGGCACTGTTCGATCTGCCGCGATCTGTTTTACCATCCGGATCCCGAACAGTCGCTGTACCGGCAACAAGCTTTAGTGCCAAAGTTGCTAGACTAGACTGTTTCCTTTGTCGATTGCCAGCTATTGAACCACTGCTGGGAGGTCGACTCAAATTTTCCAGGGAGGATACAGCATCTGGTGGGTGGAAAATATCATTTTGCAGAATTGTACGTCGACCTGGGCCCCCACTACGCGCATGAGCGGTTGCGCCGTTGGTGATCACATCTCCATTTATGCTGCTTGCCCGGCTGGTTGTACGACTTGTCTTACTTGTCCCACCCCAAATATAATCCTTCCATCCTCTTGACGTTCCAGTATTTGATTTACCTGGCGAGGGCTCTTTGGCGCGTATTGTAGCATCATTCTCCAAACTATCCAATTCACCTGCGACCACTGTTTCACTCATAGCATCATTCATTAAATCCTCCAACGCAGATTCGCTTGGTGGAGCTGGGGCACCCGAGAGTTTGCGTTCGCCTTCGATGGCCCGCAGACGAGTTTCTAAGTCCAGGTTTGATAAACCGCATTCCAAAACAATCTTTCTCAATGATCTCTCTCTTTCTTCTGCTTTACGTCTGAGAGCAGCCATTTGCGCATCTCGTCGAGCCAAATCCTCTGCAATTTGTCGGACCAACTTGACAGCTCCATTCCTTGCTATCAATCTCTCAATATGTTCATCGTTTGCATGATGCACTGACCCAGGTACTTGAGAGGAGCCTAATGGTGCATCATCGAACAAGGCCGAACGACTGTGCAAAGAAGGGGAGGATGTAGTTAAGCTGTCGACAATTGAAGCTGCGGCAGAAGCTTTTCGATTCGCGATTCCATCGTTGGTAGGTAGTATGAAGTGGGATCGTTCTTGTGTTGGCGAATCCCCCGAGAATGAGGGGAATGAAGTCAATGATTTATCCGATATCGATGATGCGGAACTCGATATTTGCGAAGCCAATCTTCGTGACTTTCCGCGTACTGTCTGCGACCGTTGACTCCTCATTGAGGCGGCTGAAGCTGTCCTGGAAAGATGCCCCGTGATATCATTTTCCATCGCTACTGTATCGTGGTTGATATCAACAAATGAATCCTCCCATTTGTTCCAATTGTATTCACTTTCCTCTCGAAATCTCAAGATAGAATTTGTAAAAGATTGCGAAGGGGAAGAAACATAAGAAGATTCTGTAAAGGCTGGAGTTTGTAATAAGAAAAATTGACCGTGTAATGTATGGGAATTAGCAGATAATGTTGATTTACATTCGTAGTCGCTCCATGCCTTTTTTGTTAATAAAGGTCGAGACATCATCATCACTGATAACTCGCGTATTTTGTGTAACACCGAGCACTATCAAAAATAAAAATCGAGAATATGTAAAACAAGCAAAGGTTACATACACATACAAGTCAAACTAAGAGGGAAAAAAGCAAGAAAAAGAACTCGCATATAGATTCGACGAGGTCTCATCAATTGTTATACAACCCACGAAGATATACAGTATAGGATAGAATAGGAACAACGATTCATGTTCTCTTCATATCGGAAGACGTAATTCTGCATTCTATGAGCCAATTTCTGTCATGGAAATGGCGCATATGAATTTCTGTTGGGTTTATGCTTTCTTCTCTGCTAATAGATACCACCATGTGTTACAGAGTATCACTCAATCCCACTCTTTCCTTTGGTGATCGCATATGCAGACGCTCACATTGTGTATAGTTGGGTAGAAAGACTCTGAAAGAGAGAGCAGGCGGATCCAGGTGATGAAAGGATCAATTGAGTTGAGGATTTTCTGTGTATGGGTAGTTTGGTAGGTACCTAGTTGTAGAAGCGCTCGATGAAAAGATCAGAGCTCAAAGTAAAACAAGAGAACTTGGAAATCAAAGGAAAATGCCCTCTTCCCTTGAAAAGCGCAGTACCAGAGCCAGTACTTACATTACATCTTACATTACATCTTACATTACATCTTACATTACATTTACATTACATATCTACCTAGGTACGGATCTGGTGTACCTACTACGTAGTCCACGTACTTACATACTTACATAGAGCGGCGAGGGCCGAGGCAATGGGAGATCTTACCTTACCCCAGACTTTGTTCGGGAATACTTGCAGATTCCCCCGCCTTGTTATTTTACTCCCTACTCGAATAATCGAAACAATGTCTCTCTTCTTACCTAGGTAGTTGAAGTTGTGAATCCTCTCTTTCTCTTTCTATTTCTCTTCCTCTTTGAATATTTAGTTTCCCTTGTTTTGTTATTGAATTCTAAGCAGGATTTGGATTTGGGTTGTATTTGGTCAACCATAATCGTTCAATACCCAATATGTCGGCATCCGCAAAGAGAAGACTCGCAGCACTTTCCGAGCAGCTTGTGAAACCCATTGAAGATCAGGGTAACTTTGAAAATATCCCAATTCTTAAGAAAATTGCACCAGATTCAACGGGCCCGAGAGTCAAGGGAAAAGTAGTCATTGTGACAGGTGATTATTTCCTTTCCAGACCACATTCTGTAGTATTGACATATTCTTCAGGAACCAATAGTCCTTTGGGAATTGGACGAGCATCAGCACATCAGTTTGCGCAGAATGGCGCAAGAGCTGTATACATATGCGATTACAATGATACGAATCTCGAAACCCACAAACGTGAACTTGCATCATTATACCCTGGTGTCGAAGTACACACGCGGAAGTTTGACGCAGCAGATGAACAATCCGTAAAGGAAGTTATTGATCATGCGGTGAAGACATATGGAAGATTGGATATTTTCTTTGCAAATGCGGGAATTGTAGGCACAAATAAAGTATTTACAGATATTTCTGCAGATGAGTTTCTGTCTACTTTACGAACAAATGTTGTCAGGTAAAATATCTACAACTGTCCTAGAAACAGACTGAGTACTAATTCCAAAATAGTGTAGCAATGGCGGCCAAATACTCGGCACCAGCTATGATGTTAACATCACCGGATAAGCAATACCCATCAGGTAGTATAATAGCCACAGCTTCAGTTGCTGGTTTACGTTCCAATGCAGGGTCCAGCGATTATTCTGCCTCCAAATCTAGCGTCGTCTCCCTGGCCCAAACGATATCCTATCAACTAGCAGGCACTGGAATTCGCGTCAATGCTATCTGTCCAGGCGTCATCGAAACAGGTATGACAGCACCTATGTATGAAGCTGCACGAGCCAGGGGATCGGAAAAGAAGATTGGCCAATTAAATCCGCTAGGAAGAGGTGCACATGCCGATGAGGTAGCTAGGGTGGCATTGTTTTTAGGAAGTGAGGAGAGTAGTTATGTTAATGGTCAAGCTTGGGCTGTGGATGGAGGACTTAGTGCTGGTCATCCTTTCGTTCCAGGAAAGTTGGGTTGAGTCGGAGGTTGGTGAAGGTCAGAATCCTAAAGATGGCCTCACTATTCCATGATTTGCCAGTTTGGTGTATTTCCCACACAAAGTCCAAGCTGGAAGAAGATCTCAAACAATAATATTATTTGACATCAGCCCTTGATACTTGCTGTTTCCCCATAGTGCCTCTCGGACTCTATCCTTTATTTCTTTACTTCAAATATAGTTCCTAGAATTGTAATCACTGTTACATACGACCATAGACTGAAGAGAATCGGGCATCCCGTCCGCTCTGCCATACACAAGCTTCAGATCGGTGGATTAGTAGTTGGGTGGGTGACCACCAGCGAATCCCCACTGTTGTATGTTTTTTACTCGTTTTTTTCTTTTCTCCTTTTGGCGGTCGTTTGAGACATGGGAGTTTCAAGACCTGTGGAGGAAACAAAGTATATAGCGTCGAGGGGAGCGGGAATGGAGACAAACGTGATATGTGTTTTGGGGTCTACCTTTTAGGTATGTGGTCGACGGAGTGGTAATGACTGAAGTAGGATACTGGGAATTCCTGTGTGGAGGAATATCATAGAAAGGAGAAGTACTTGGACACACCTGCATGCTTGAACATTCATAGAGAGAGCTAGTATAATCGAAGCTTTTATTTTACTCGTTGCAAGTCACTTGTCGATTTGGTAGCAACCCATAAACTTAGTGACTGAAAGTAGAGGGATTGGTGGATCAAGGTTCAACTGATCTCAGTAAAGAAGCTTCAAGCATTAAGGGTTGAAATGAAGGTAATGGGCAAGCTCACCGGGACAAAAAGTGGTAATTTGTCCCTGGTAAGCCTTTCGCAGATTATATCGTTTCAATGAGCTATGAGCTTTCAGTCAGAACAGATAGATTTGGGAGCATCCGGGAATAATAAATTCGATTCGGCCAATCAAGGCTCTATTATGAAAATCCAGCCTTGTCCCGCTTTGATGGCTTCGCGCTAGTCACAAATTATCCACACTAGCTGCAAGGCTACGATAATAATTTTGTCTTCCGATAACAAGATTTAACAAAATCATCTATCATCGCTATAACATTAATATCAACATATTTCTTCCTCAACAATGTCAGATCCTCTTTTATCATCATTATGTCGCATCTGTCATATTAATCCTACCAAATATACATGTCCACGGTGCTCTCAACAAACATGTTCACTTCCCTGCTCCAAGCGTCACAAAGTCTGGTCAACATGCTCTGGTATTCGCGATCCTACTGTCTACAAACCGAGGTCACAATTGGCAACTCCTTCAGGCATTGATCATGATTATAACTTTCTTCATTCAATTGAGCATCGAATTGAGAGATCGGAAAAGGAGATTGTGGAAGAGCGAGGATTGGTAAAGAAAATGGAACTTGAGTTGGCAAGGCAAGGGCCTAAGGATGATAGAAGACGGCCCAACAAAAGCAGAGGCAACCAGCGTGAAGACTTTCTCACTAAAATGCTACAAAGTTCTGGAATAACGGTAGTTAAAGCGCCAAGCGGAATGTCTAGGAATTTGGAGAATACATCTAGTTGGAGTAAATCGCAGAAGTGTATGAATTGGCAGATAGAATGGATTCGAGAGGCAGATGCAGGTGGAAGAATATTGCACAAATCGATAGACAAATGGTCCATTAACGACACCTACTCACTGCTCTTGGAAGAACAACGAAGGTTGAGCATGGCGCCGGAAGAAAAGGCAGCCCTGAAAAAAAGAAAGGCAGACGAATTGAAAGAAAATAAGGCCAAGAGGACCAAGACAGATGAAAGTTCGTTGGATGTATCACCGCTTTCTTTATTTCAGGATTCGACTGGTGCTTGGAATACAATTTTGGATCAGGCAATCTTATCAAACAACCAGAATTCCATGCGCCAAACTCATCCACCACCAAAGCTTGATTCCAAGTATCGTTTCTACCTCCATCGACCTAAGACTCGATCATCATATCCTAAAGTATTGATACCTTTAGATCCCACACAGCCACTTTTCAAAGTCTTGGAGAATCGCACAGTTCTCGAATTTCCTACTTTGTATGTATTTGAGTCGGACAAACTCCCAGAAACATTTATGCTTGAAAAGGCCTACATAGAGGCAACGGGAGACGGGCCAGAGGTGGAAAGTGATGAAAGTGAGGAATCCGAAGATGATACTAGTGATGTCTCTTCGGATGAGGATGAGGATGAAGATGAAGATGAGGAAATGGAGGACGGAGAGGTTGCACCATAAAATCTGCCCGATGCTATTAAATTGTATAGAAACTTGTTGCTCATGATACCCATACACTAATAATCAAAGAGATTTACTCGAACAACATGCCATTTATTTCTTATATACATATATTGACCATTAGTATCTGCTAATCAACATCATAATCTATCTAGACAAGTCAGACATGGTCGACTTGACTTGTTCTTTGTCTATGGCTTGCAAACAACATATACATCCACCTCATGAGCTTACATATATTACTGTTTAGCCGTTCAGAATTACAGGAGTCGTATAGCTTGTACAATTGTACTAAGAACGAAGTCACGCCGCCTCTATTCCACCATATATATTACCTCCAGAAGTGATACTGAGGTTTCCTCGTCATCGGAAGAGGCGACGATCAGACTAATATGCCCCAAAACTTGGTTATGCTAAGTTTGTTGGCTGGCTCCCAGTGAGGTTGAAGTCTGAGTGAGCGCTAGAGCTCACCGGGGGGTACATTCCCTATTGTATGATCTTCTGCGATTTGAGAACTCTAGACTCATGAAACTAAGATTATTCGATGGATACTATAATAAAGAAGTATAAAGTTCAGTATCATTTGGATTTGTCTCTATCAATAAATTTCCATCTCGTACTGTGATTCTATCGTGGGGTCGTGTAAAGTGGTTTTTGATTGGTGATAAGGTTTCCATGCCAACAACCATGATTTTGCACTTTTTCCCTCTGTTTTGGAATTTGACGCGCCTCTCTACGTGATAAACCCTCTTGTAAACAAAATCACCGATATCTGCATAATCTGAAATAATAGTAAGGTTTTATTGAGCCTCATGAAGTAAGCCATATATCCACATTTCCAAAGGTGCAGGTGGATGGTCATCTCGAATTTTATTTACTGATAGCAACCAGAGGTGGATTCACCCCGCTAAATACCATTGGATCAACGGAAACACCAAAATTCAAATGTCGAAATAGAAATACAAATACCAAACAACAACACAAATTCAAAAGAGTTGTCGACACTTCAAAAGCAACAACACCAGCTATCCGTCTACCGCAAATTCATAGAAGAACTCTCTCTTCGCCAGTGACGGAAAATAGCCCATCCTTGAGTGACCTTGGTGATTCAACTGCACTCTTTGATTCGTCTCTCGAAATAATTGGTCGAGCATCCAATTCAGGTTCGACTAGGAAAGGAACTGTGGTTGTGCTAGACACTACAAAATACGACAAATATCCTGTTGAGAAAGCAAACACAATGGTTAGGGAAATATCTCCAGCAAAGGTGCAGGCACCTCGACCTGAAGAGCCCAAGGATCAATATCGACCCTCCCAAAGCAATACAGCAAATCATCTATCTAGTATTCCTAGATTCGGAGAAGCTACACTTCCACAGTCTCCGTTAAATCGTAAATCTCAACAACAATACTCCGAATTGTTCATTCAACCAAAATCCCGCCCTGAATTTCATAAAGATCCAGAGAGACATGGTATGTGTTCATGTGCCATATTAACTCACGGTGCTAATATCTACGTAGCACATCCACATTTGCAAGCAGCAAAAGATGTTGCCCGAAAGATTATTAACCCCCTTATGCCACGAGCACCAGCGGAATACAGTCAACCAGCAGTTCGTGCACCGATTCCTGGCTCTTCATCATATGCAACAACTCACCCTGCACCTGCACCAACATTCGGCTCCCTTCCAAACAGCAATGGGGGTGGTTTCCAATCCGTAAATACCTATACATCTAGCAATTATATCGACCTTACTATGGGCAAGCCAAATTACAATGAACCACACACCTATGTTGATCCTGCAAAGGCACAAGAAGATCTAAAGGCACTTTTAGAGGGTGTTATTGAGGATGAGGAAGATACGAAACCCAGAACGAGATCACGCAGAAAGAAGAAGGATGCGGAAGTAGACGAGTTGATGGCAAAAATGGATGGATTGAATGTTGAATCAGAGGAGAAGCTCGAAGTTGCATCAGAGGACGAGGAGGAAGATGACGGAACCGTCGAAGGAATCAACGTAAAACTTCTCCCGCATCAGGTTGAAGGACTGGAGTGGATGATTGGTCGAGAAATCGGCACAGGAAAGAAAGGCATGGTACCAAAAGGAGGCATTCTCGCCGATGATATGGGTTTGGGGAAAACCCTACAATCGATTTCACTCATTTTGAGCAATCCCAAACCATCAAGTTCAGACGAAACTCACATTAAACGCAAATTACCTTCAGGTCTGGATAAATGCACTTTGGTTGTTGCACCTCTTGCACTTATTCGACAATGGGAAGCCGAAATTAAAGACAAAGTTGAAGAGAGTCACTCTCTTCGTGTTTGTGTCCATCATGGCCCTCAACGTACGAAGCGATTCCAAGATCTCAGGAAATTCGATGTCGTTATTACGACCTATCAAATCCTCGTTTCAGAATGGGGCAATTCGTCTAAGGATGATGATGATGAAGGTGTCAAGGTCGGCTGTTTTGGTATACATTGGTACAGAGTCATTCTTGACGAAGCCCATACTATCAAAAATCGAAACGCCAAAGCTACGCAAGCGTGTTATTCACTTAGAAGTCAATACCGTTGGTGCTTGACAGGAACGCCGATGCAAAACAATTTGGATGAATTGCAAAGTCTGATCAAATTCCTCAGAATCAAACCTTACGACAACCTTCGCGAATGGAAGGATCAAATCGATCGACCAATGAAGAATGGTAGGGGTGATGTTGCTATTAAGCGTCTTCGTCATTACTTGCAGATTTTCATGAAGCGACGTACCAAGGACATTTTAAAGAAGGATGGAGCCCTCAACCCTGGAGGAAAGCCTTCTGCTCCTGGACAAGCCAATTCAACAGGTTTCAAGGTCGTCGAGCGTAAAATTGAGAAGGTCTTTGCGGAATTCTCACCAGAGGAGCGTAGATTTTATGAAAGACTGGAAAGGCGTACCGATGCTAGTATTGAAGAGATGATGGGTGGAAGTAAAGTCAACTACGCAAGTGCATTGGTATTGCTATTGCGTTTAAGACAAGCATGTAATCATCCAAAACTTGTTGGAAATAAATTGGGAAAAGATACCGATGCACTTTCAGCAGAAACCAGCAACCCTAAATCAAAATCAACAACAGATGTTGATGAGATGGCTGATATGTTCGGTTCTTTGGGTGTAGGCTCTAAGAAATGTGAGGTTTGCCAAATTGATCTTGGTAAAGAAGCCATTTCACAAGGCGCCATTCGCTGTTTGGATTGTGAAGCAGATTTGGATGAGATATCCGGCAAGAAGCTTAGTCCAAAGAAGAAGATCAAGGAGAAGAAGAGTAAAAAGAGTAAGAAGAGCAAGAAACAAAAGGAGGCTAAACCTATTCCAATTCGTAAACCCAGGAATAGGAATATTATCGAAGACAGTGATGACGAAGAAAAGGAAGAGCAAGGCGAATGGCTTGTTGGAGAAAAGAAACGTGGTGCTCTTACTCTAGGAAAGGCTGGTGGAGAGGAAGACGAGAACTGTGAAGGTGGCGGTGAATGGCTTGATTCGGATCATGATGACGATCTTGATGATTCTTTCCCTGACATTAAAGATATTGGCAAGAAGAAGGTCGTCAATCTCGATAGTGATGATGAAGAAGGCACCGAAGAATCTGCCGAGGAGTCAGAGGATGATGAGTCTTCTGAAGAAGAGGACGAGGAATCCGATGTTGAAGACGAATTTGGTTCCGATGAAGATGCTGAACTTTCTCGAATTGCTGCATCTACCAAGATTACACATTTAATGAAGATTCTCGGAAAGGAAGCCGCTCAGCATAAATTCATTGTCTTTTCACAGTTCACGTCGATGTTGGATCTTGTCGAACCATTCTTACGCCAAAAGGGTTACAAGTATACAAGATATGATGGTGGTATGAAGAACGATCTACGTGAGGCTAGTTTGGACAGACTTCGTAACGACGAGAATTGCAGAGTCTTACTTTGTAGTTTGAAGTGTGGTTCTCTAGGACTCAATCTTACAGCTGCTACTCGTGTGGTTATCCTTGAACCATTCTGGAATCCCGTAAGTAATCTTCTGTCGATGCTCACATTATATTTGATGATCATAGTTACTAACACATACTTCCATAGTTCGTTGAAGAACAAGCCATCGATCGTGTACATCGTCTTACACAGAAAATTGATGTTATTGTTTACAAGATTACCATCAAAGATACCGTTGAAGAGCGAATTTTACTTCTTCAAGAGAAGAAACGAGAACTTGCAAATCAAACTATTGAAGGTGGTAAAGGTGGTGCTGGTAAATTGGGAATGAAGGAGATTCTTCAATTATTCAGAAGAGATGCTGAGCATGCTCCGCCTGCTGCTGGTGCATATGATCTTGGTGCTAAGCCAAGAATCTTGAAGGAATCTGCTAGTAGAAGTCCAAGTAAAAGTGCAGCGACTTTGGATAGTTATGGTTCACAAAGTTCATCGGCACCGAGGAAGATTACACCAGCTCCGTTTCAAGCGAAAAAGGTAGAAGACTCGTTGTATGGTAGAAGATGGTAACATGTTTCTGTAAAGTAAGATCTTTTCTTGATGGTTAGATTACAATTGTTGGTTTAGATAGGAAACATCTTATGCTAGATTTGGGATATATTGTAGTTGATTTGGGTTACGGAATGGAGACTGGGCGCACTGAGGGGATTTTAGCATTTTTTTATGAGGTTTCTGGATTGCATGGAAATATGATGAACGGCTATTAAATGAGAAATGAAAAGGATTTTATATGTTCGAATAGTATATTGCTCTCATTGAATCTTTGTCTCCGTTGATCAGTATATCGCTAGAATTTCTCATCTCAGAAATTACTCATTTCGATGTTGTATATATACTAACTACATCACGACATTTCCGTATATAGTAAAACCTCTTTATAAGAATCCTCTCTATAAGAATATATTTTTCGATCCTAAAAGTTTTCAGGTATAAAAATGATTTATATTCTTAAAATCCTTTTAGTAGGATATTCTTATAATTTCCAATCTTAGAATTATATATATTCTTATAGAATTAATAGAATTAATAGAATTAATAGAATTAATAGAATTAATAGAATTAATAGAATTAATAGAATTAATAGAATTAATAGAATTAATAGAATTAATAGAATTAATAGAATTAATAGAATTAATAGAATTAATAGAATTAATAGAATTAATAGAATTAATAGAATTAATAGAATTAATAGAATTAATAGAATTAATAGAATTAATTATTATATAATTAATATATCTGAATTTTAAAAAGATTTAATTGAAATCCTAAAGATATTATATAATATAATTCGATCAGGATTAATTAGGAGCGGACTATTACTATATCGGGATTAGTTAGACACCTCTATATAGGTAAGAATATCTCTACGATATATATTCAAACCTCTCTATACTATATTGACTAAAAATAAAAAATGATTACATACCCGAGATACCGACGAAGATAGATACCTAGCAGCCAAGCAAGCTCGAGGCAAGGTAGATAGATAGGTATCGTTATCGCCGAAAATTTGTGGCGAACCTTGGGAACAAAGCGTTTCAAGATTTATATTCCAGCTGCTGGGGTGGGTGGGGTGAAGGGAGTGGAGATGGGATGATGGGATGATGGGATGAGATGGTGAATGGCATGTTCGGCTTTTGAGAGGGAAGCTCGGAGGGAGGGATACTGGAGTAAGGATTGGGGGATGTGATTGGATTGTGATGAGTAGATACAGAGTAGATACGGAGTAGGGGTTTTTGATTTGTCTTTTTGATTTTTTGATTGATTGTCTTTGAGAATTTGAGAATTTTGAGAATTTGATTTCTTAATTGCTTTTTTGTTGGCTTTGTATGGTGGACGGTTATATATATCATACATACATATACCTATTGTGGGCTTTATATCGCATTCGGATATTGAGATATTAGATAGAAATATCGAGTGGGATATACTCCGTATATTGTATCAAGATAAGAATACGGAAGATAGTGAAGATTGAAGATATAATATAATGGCTTCAGCTTCTATCGTAGGGAGTACCGGTCTTGTTGTACGTATTTCCCTTTCTTTTTTTCTTTTTTTCTTTCTTTCTTTCTTCTGTCTTCTTCTGTCTGCCCTCTTTCCTTTCGCGCTTCTTGATGTACCATATCATAACATGCTAACACACCCAGGGCACCCACATCCTCTCGACTCTCCTCTCGCACCCCTCCATCTCCAGCGTCCATTCCCTCTCCCGGCGCGCTCCCAACCCCAACAGCACCTCTGCCAAACTCCACCCGCTCACCTCTCCAGACACAGCCACATGGGCTTCCCTCCTCACCTCCATCTCTCCCTCTCCCCTCCTCTTCTTTTCCGCCCTCGGAACCACAAAAGCCCAAGCAGGGAGTATCGACGCGCAGCGCAAAATCGACCATGATTTAAATCTCGAGCTCGCATCTACTTTTTCTCTTTCGCAGACCGGCACTGGTCCTGATACTGACACCGAAACCCCCACCGAGAATCAAGAAATCCCACCCAACAAAATCTACATCCTAATCTCCACCCACGGCGCCAACCCCTCCTCTCGACTCCCCTACCCCAAAATGAAAGGCGAGCTAGAAGACGCGGTGAAAGCTCTCCTGCAAAGCAAGGAAAATCAGGTCAAACATGTTATTATCCTGCGCCCCGGACTGATCGTCGGCGAGCGAGAGGATTCGCGGCCGGTGGAGTTTGTGGCGCGGAAGGTGGCGGGCTGGATGGGCTGGGTGAATCCTGGGTTGCAGGATTTTTGGGCCCAGGATGCGAGGGTGATTGGGAGGGCGGCGGTGGAGGCGGGGGTTAGGGCGATGGGGGGGAGGGATGGAGAGGCGGAGATTCCGAGGGTGTGGGAGTTGGGGCAGAGGGATATTGTTAGGTTGGGGAAGGTGGAGTGGAGGGGGGAGTGAGGGGATGGGGTTAGGGGTTGTTGGGATGGATGGAGTTTTGGTTTTTGGTTTTTGGTTGGAAGGTTGTATTGTGTTTTGTTGTGTTGAGCTGTCGTGTCTTGTGCCACTTTGAATAGGTTTATTGTGTATGTATTTTCAGGAATTAATTTACTGATTCATTTATCGAATGTAGATCCTACTTTTGATTTTCCTCTTTCAATCACTCACCCTCTCATTCTTTCTATCTCCTAAATCATATACACAAACTATCTCCAATCCCCACCACATCCCAATCATCACTTATCTCCTCTCTATTTCCCCCCAAACCCACTTCCCTTCCTCCCACTCACATTCTTATCTCCCGGGCTCCTCTCCGCCCCTCCCTCCTGTTCCCCCCTCGGCTTACTCACCTCCTGATTCGCCGGACTCACATCCAACGGATTACCGTCTCCCCCTTTCCCCGCTTCGGCTTTCTCCGCTTCAGGAGACGTAATGGACGGATCGAAAGCGGCGGATTCTTCGCGCGCCGCAGCATCGTCACTCCCGGATTTGGAGTATTCGGTTGCCGTCGTGTCGATGCTGTCTTTGTGTTGGGAATCTTTGCGGGGCAGCGGAGAAATGGGTGTGCTGGTGAAGGGGCGGGTGGTGAGGGAAATGGGGGGTTGCTGGGAGAGGAGTGTGCGTGGGGTGAGGGAGATGCGTGTACGTGTGATGTTTGAGAGACGGAGGAAGGGAGTTGGAGACATTTTTGGTTTTTGGTTTGGGTGGTTGTGATGTTTTGTTAGATGATGTGTCTTATAATTGTAATGTAAATCTAGTGGTCGAATTAGCTTGGTGCTCGGAATTAGATGTGTTCTCAATGGATGTATTCAGATTTCAATAGAAGGGAACTGAATTACATGTATACTTTCAAAGAATACTAGGTATATATATAGGTAGTTGATATGAATTCAACTTACATTGAATCTAGTCTGATTGATTTATATTGTGTTTGATTGAATCGTATTGTTTTTAATTCAATTGTTTGTTTGTAGATACTAGATATATTAGACAATAGAGGAGACAAGATTTCTGCACTCTTCAGATTGAATGAATGTGTGTGGAAAAATGACGACGTCATTGTCGTTAGGAGCTGAGAGCTAGGTACCCCACATTATATTTTGCCTCTGGGTTTGAGTGATTGAATGAATGGGGATTATAATACTTGTACGAATGGACGTTAAGATTATAGACAATACAAATTGTGCGATTGAAGAATTCTGGGTAGGTGTACGATATATGCTGATACGCAATGTTGTATTATATCATTTTTTGGAAGTTGATTTTGCGGATGAGATGGATTGTGTGTTGGATTATCAATAGATAGATAATAGTATGGGATTCATAATTGCGATGATAGCGAATGTGTATCTACGTACTACCTACTATCTACTATCTATACTATCTACTACCTACCACCACTAAAGCCAATGACTTTTGTATTCGGAGAAGAAACTCCTGTATGGGGTAATGAGAATCTGGAGAAGCCTCATACTCATATCCAGTTGTTATACTGCACATATGTACTGAACCTAGGTATGAGTACCTAGTAGAATCAGAGCATTGAGATACTCAGATGTAGGATTACCAACTTTCCCATAGATTGGAGATCGCATTTCTACCCATGTAGTCATACATACCATACTCAGTACACACGGGACATTCCCCGCTCTCCGCATATCATAACAAGAATCTCATTTGCTGTACGATAGATTTGTGAGACAATAAATGGCGTGTAGGAAGTACGAAGTATGTGTGTACCAGTATGTCCATAAAGAAGTCAGAAATGAACAAGGTTTGAAAGGAGAGATTTCTCCTTTGGGTTGAGATTGGTCGTCACTCATCGTGGCGTTATGACCTAGTAGTCTTGATGTCATGATTTAGTGTGACGGTGTCAATTCATTCCCTAGGTAGGTATAGAAAAGGAATGTTCAAGAGTAGATGTCGATTGCAGAATATACATCTCGTTCATAATCTCTTTACTTCTACTGTAATCTTCATCAAATCATTCGAAATGTTACGCACCATCTCCAGAAAGACTTTCTCCCAATCCACAAACGCCATCTTCAAACCTTCCACAACTCTTTTCTCCAGAAATATGGCCGATAGTCGTGTTGAAGCAGCTTCCCAAGTTGCGGGTGAAAAGAAAGATACTAGTCCATCCGTAAGTATTGGAATTGCTTCCTGTGATAGATACCTACGGCAAGCTGATCTCAGACATCTAGAACCCCTCAGTCATTTCATCTGCAGGTGCTGTTGGCAAGCAATTCAACCCCGATGGAAATATTGGACAAATTGGTGAGAAGATTGGTGGTCCATTCTCAAAGGTAATCTTCAATCGTATGCGGGACTTTTCGCATCAATAGCTAATTTGTTAATAGGATGGTGCTATCGGTTCTCAATTCGATGCCGCGAAAGATGGTCTCGCTGGACAGGTTGAGAAGGCTGTTGATGGGCCAAGTAGACCTGCTACGGAGAAGAAGTAATGAGTTACGATGATGATGAAGAGAGGTTGATGATAAATTCGCAGGTGTGATGTCTTTTCCTCAGTTGATGGATTAGCTATATGTATTATAATGATAAGTAACGAAACTTGAGTGTGTTGATCTATCTGTGTCTTGATGATTTTCTTGTGAGTTCGAAACAAGGAACAATGTTTTTGAAGATACATACAGACACCCATAAATCATCGAAAGTGGTATAATCATACTTGATATCTTGTGATATCCCAAACTCCTTCCATGAAGCTCCTAGGAATCTTGTGGTGTATTTACTCATCGACTTCGATGCACAACTCACTTGCTGTTCATATTCCTTTTGTCGACCTATGTTTGGGTAATCGATTCGAGGGTATCTGTGGCTTGTAATTCATCTGCTTCGAAGAATGACAAATATATAGACTGTGAAGGTAAAAAGAAACCCATACTCCTTAGACTTTGTTACCAGTCCAACATGTCCAATTGAAGCCATGCCATTCTGACTTGGCCATTAGACTTCTCATGAATGAGTTATAAGCATTTAGAGGGAGAAACAACATTGATCTATGCTTAATTGACAGAGTTACTTGGGTATGAAGTTATCAATATCATCAACTTTATATTGAACAATACAACAATGTTAACAACAACAAATTTGAAATTCCCAAAATAGCATCACAATGGACAATCCGGAGAACTAGAGAACTGGAGAACTAGAGAACTGAATAACAAAGAAAATCTAATCTATTGGCTACCGTTATCGGCGTCGGTTAAACTTTCTTCCTTCACACCCTCGACAAGGGTATATAATTTAGTCGAAGGCGTTTAGCTTGCTGGTGATTGCGTGCTTTCTCGTGCTCTCACCAAATTTCACTTCATTCACAGTAATATCAACCTTCTGATACGGTAAGTGAAGAAAGAAAAGATCCTCTTGGTAGGTTCACCAGTTCCAAATGGTAAAAGTCCATATGATTTGACTCGATTTCCTATCCTCTGATTATTACTAACCAAGGTGATTTATCGGAATCTCGGTTTTTCCATTCCAATTGATTGCCCAAGAGATTATATATATCTCACACTAATAAATCTTTCCCTTTCAAAGCTAAGTTGTGAAGGGTTAATATTTCCTTCGATTGAGTATCTTGTTGTTGTCTCTACTTTATTTACAACAAACTCATTCTCTTCTTTCTCGAAGAATTGTATCAAGTCAATTTTGTCTTGAGATTTCCTTTCTTTTATTTGCATTCTTGTCTTGTCAAAAGTTCTTCAAAGATACCCCGCCACCCATCAATCCGCAGAAATGGGGGCATCAACAGATTATGATCAAACCAAAGGCATAAACACTCAGCCAGAGGGTGACGGATCTAAACAGGTAATTCAGAACAACAATCATATGAACTATTTAGAAGTGTCTAATCATTCTCTTTGCAGGAACCCTTTGGAAAAGATACCCTCAATTCTACCTGGAATTCCGAACATGAGTCCTCTTTTCGAACATTCTCCCAAAAGTCTTCCAATCTTCCCTTTGGACAATCGATCGAATACGATGCGATCAGTGGTCCTACCTATGTTACTGCACAAACTTTGGTTCAACAAGTCGCATATGCGCTCTCCGATAAGATCTTCTCTTATTCCCCAGAATCATTTGATTTGGATGTTGCTGTAAAGTCTTGGGCTGCGGCAAATACAAAGAATGCCAATGGTTATACTACACAAGTTTCTCCCATGCAGACCCGCTCTGGCGCTGGATCAATTGCTCTTGGATACATGTTTTCAAAGGATTTTGACTTGACCAAAAGACACATCCCTCAATCACTTTTGGCCTCTTCTTCCAGTCTGCACAGCTTGCGCTCAACTCTCGATCAACTTTCTCTATTGTACTCTGTCGCAAACCCATTTGTTGCCCACGTTGCGGCCGTCGACTATGCACCGGGATCTACTGGCCTCGTTACTGACTACGCAACTGCTTTGACTGTGGCAGAGGAATTGGGACTTGGTTTGGTTTCTAGTTCATCTGCATATGAAGCCCAACATATGTCTCTCTTTTCTACATTGCTAGCAACTATCCTTCCAACCATTCACACTTATGATGGAATCACTGTTGGTCGTGATACCCTTCGTGTCATTGATATTCTTAGTCAATCTGGTCTTAGCAGTTCCTATAAGACAGTTCTTGAAGAAATATCGAAACTCGGAAAGAGAGCTGATGCTGAAAGCAAGGTTTCTTCACTTCTTGAGGCTTTCAACAGCGAACTTGGTACATCATATGGCCTCTTTGAGTACAGTGGACACGAGTCACCTGAATCTGTTTTGGTTGTATTTGGTTCTGTTGAGAGTTCTCTTGCCACTCAAGTCGCCAAGAAGCTTTCTGCTGAGGGCGAGAAAGTTGGTGTTATCAATGTCAGAGTCTACAGACCTTTTGTAGAGGAAGCTTTCTTGAAGGCTCTTCCTGAATCAGTCAGAAGCATTGCAGTCCTTGGCCAAGTTTTGGACGAGACGGCCGCAACAGATGTTTCGGGTCACTCCAACTTATATGAGGATGTTTTGGCAGCAACTGTATTCTCTGATAAATTCACAGCTTCTCCCAAGGTAGTTGATGTTAAGTATGCTCGATCGCAAGTATTTACACCTACTTCCATTGCTAGCATTTTCCATCAACTCGGTGGCAAGTCTTTCAGTGATTTTGTTTCACTATTGAATGTTGGTCAAGTTCAACAGTATTCATTCTTTGATCTTGAGGATTCTGCTGCTGCTACTGCACCTTCTGCCATTAGCAAACTTCTCTCTGGTGATTCGGCTGGCAATGTCCTTATCAATCAAACTCATGACAACTTCATTCAAGGTGGTGTCGTTAGAACTGACATTCGAAGCTCAAAGAAGTCAATCGAGGCCGCTTATCCAATTGAAGAAGCCGATGCTACCTACATTGGAGACGAGAAACTTTTCAAGGAGATTGCCATCTTGCAGAATGTCAGATTGGGTGGAAAGATTATTGTCAGGCTTCCAGGTGTTAAGGACGAAGATTTGGAAAAGAAGATTCCAAGCTTTGTTCGTAACGAGATTAAGAAAAGAGATGTCGAGTTATTTGTCTTGGATCCAACTTTGTCAGAAGCTCTTGAGAAGGAACCTGCTCTTGAAACCTTGTTCGCTGAGCTTGCATTCTTGAAGATTGCTCGTCCAGAACTCCTCGAGTCTGGAAAAGACAAGCTTGCCGCTATCAATGGAAGCCAAGAGCAATTCCAATCTGCAGTAGCCGATCTTGAGAAGGTTGTTCGCAAAGTTGAAATTCCTGAGACTTGGGTCGAAGTTGATGCTGAGGCTGAAGTCCTCAACCTTCCTGTAACCATCAAGTCCAGCAGCTTTACTGGTTTCCAAAAGGAAGATACTGAGGCTCCATCTCAGCTTCGTGATTGGCACGCAGCTGCCAAGGGTCTTCTTTTCAAGGAAGCGTATGGCACTAAATCTGAACTTCGACCAGATCTCACTGCCAAGACCTATGAAATTACAGTAAAGGAGAACCGTCGTTTGACCCCTATCACATATGACCGTAATATCTTCCATATCGAGTTCGATTTGGGAACTTCTGGTCTTAAATATGATATCGGTGAAGCTCTTGGTATTCATGCTGTCAATGATGTTGCTGAAGTTGAAGAATTCATGAAATTTTATGGTCTCAATGCAGATGATGTTGTCGAGGTCCCATCTCGTGAGGATAACAATGTTTGGGAAACTAGAACAGTCTTCCAATCTTTGGTACAAAACATCGATATCTTTGGTAGACCACCAAAGAAATTCTACGAAGCCCTCGCCGAATTCGCTTCTGACGAGAATGAAAAGAAGGAACTTCTTACCCTTGGTGGTCCAGAAGGTGCCAATGAATTCAAGCGTCGTGCTGAAGTTGATACAATTACTTATGCCGATGTTCTCCTTGAATTCAAGTCTGCTCACCCATCTTTCCACGATATTGCCCGTATCGTTTCACCAATGAAGCGTCGTGAATACTCCATCGCCTCTTCCCAAGCCGTCAACCCAACCACCGTCGCTCTCATGATCGTCGTCGTTTCCTGGGTTGATCCAAAGGGTCGCGATCGTTTCGGTCAAGCTACACGTTACCTTTCTTCCCTTCCTGTCGGATCAAAGGTCACTGCTTCCGTCAAGCCTTCCGTTATGAAACTCCCAGCTCTCGACACAGCTCCTCTCATCATGGCTGGTCTCGGTACGGGTCTTGCTCCTTTCCGTGCTTTCGTTCAATACAGAGCTATGCAAAAGGCTCAAGGCAAAGATATCGGTTCCATCCTTCTTTACATGGGATCCCGTCATCAACGCGAAGAATATTTGTATGGTGAAGAATGGGAAGCTTATCAAGATGCTGGCGTCATCACATTATTAGGAAGAGCTTTCTCTCGTGATCAGAAACAAAAGATCTATATCCAAGATCGTATGAGAGAAACGGTTCAGGATATTATCCAGGCGTATATTAAGGATGAGGGATCATTCTACTTGTGTGGTCCTACCTGGCCAGTTCCAGATGTGACCGAGGTTCTTGAGGAAGCTATTAGGGAAGAGGGTAGAATTAGTGGAAAGAAGGTTGATGGAAGGAAGGAGATTGAGAGATTGAAGGAAGCGGGTAGATATGTTTTGGAGGTTTATTAGATGCTTGCATGTGTGAGGTGTTGCGCCTAGATTCCGGGTTGGAAGGGTTGATTGTTTTGAATGTCTTTAGAATACGGTCGTTAGATGGAATTACTTAGATTGCATAGATCCTATATGGAATCAATATTATCGATTTTTGAGAGATTTTTGAGAGATGAACTCGTTGGTTTTGTGATTTGATTTGATTGGTTTGATTGCTTCCTATCTGTTATGCTTGATTCTATATATTTGATATATTTTGTGGGCGTTATGATTGTTAGCTAATGTAAACACCTCGTGTTGATAGGAAGAATCTGAGATTAATGTTAATGTTAACGTTAATATTTTCGCTAGCTTGTTTGTTCATGGTTGGAGTT